AGCTTCGTTATATTTGTATTATACCAAAATACCTGTAATGTGACCCTAACTCTTCTGTATATGTTTTTCTTCTCCCTTCTCCCTCTGGGTGACCTAATTGATACGTTAACCATTGCTGCCCTCTACAAATAATAGATGTGGTGCTAAAATAAGGTAACAAAAGGTTGTTAATTGCTGCTAGACTCCTCTGTCCTCTGCTGAGGAAAACAAAGGTGTTCCTCATTAACAGTTTTCCTGATCCACGCCCATAACCCCTTACTTTGTAAACTGTGATATGTACTTAAAGGTGGCAAATATAGAGGAGCAACACACACAGCTTTTGCAATCTCCAGCTGCACTGTGTCGCTGGGCCCAGGATAAAATAAATCAGCGCTGCTTTTTTAAAGTATGTTTTTGCCTCATTTTTTGAACTCGAGTTTGGGGGCTCGTTGGTGGATTACAAGACTCCTTACATTGAAGAATAATTTATGCTTTACAACCCACATATTTTGCACTTTCTTCCTGTTTTTCTGATTCGGTTTCATCAATGGACTGACTGGAGGCAGCTGACTATAGAGATCAATTTAAGCTACAGGTCCTCCGGTTTCTCAGGTTCTTTCCAAAGCCCTTGGCCTAATTTTGAACTTAGAATATATACTTAAGTTCCTTAAAGAGGATTCTCAATTTTATCAGCCCCTCAAAATCTAGATCTGCTCCGCTAATTATAAACACAACACCACTAACAAGAGGTAATCCCTACAACACGAGGGTGATATGCTCTAGCTCTTGTCTTCTCTCCTTGGAGAGTGGGTGGCCCCGTGGACCCCGTGGGAAATGTGTGGACCAGTGCTTTCCCAGCTCTCTCCAGCTCCTGTCCCCATCTCCTGACTCCACCAGTTGTATAGCAAACACAGCCTACCTAAGAAATAGAGAGAAAACATCTGTTGGTTATCTGTGATTTGCTTCTGAATATTTCAAGCCAACAAAAGTCTATGCCAAATTATATTTCTGTGGGTGTAATTCTCTAAAGTGCCCTTGCATCTGCTTAGATGCCAGGAGAAGTAGCCATAGAGAAAGCAGCCAAGGTGAGTGGTCCAGGCCAGGGATTGGGGCCTGGTTCTCTCCTTCAGTAGCTGCATGGTCTTCTCATGTCAGCCCTCTGTCTCCATGCCTCAGTTTCCTCCAGTGGGAAAGGGGAGTTCTGAGTGCATCCCAAAACTTCTGCTTGTGTTAGCACAGTGCTTAGCCCAGAGCAAACACCTGATACACCCCATCATTTGCATTAAAACTATGCATCTTCCATGTGTCAGCTTCTCAGTCATATTTTGGTCACAGTCTCTTTTATGGCAGTTCTATGAGATTTCTCCACTTATTCCTCCAGACCCTTTATAGAGGTTTTTATTTTGGCAATAATTTTTAATTTCCAGGAATTTCTTCCCACTCTTCGATTTTGCTGTATTGTTTTATGGCTGCAATATCTTCTTTCATCTGTGGGAGAATATGAATTCAATCTTTCAAGGCTCTCTTCTCAGAACTGGTCATTTCCTTTAGAAAGAGCAGCTCAGTGGGGTCTGTATGGTGATCCTGGCCCCACTGGTGCTATTGATTTCCTGCAATGCTGGTCACCTTGGCCTGCCCTTTAAGTTTATCAATCAAGCACTGAGCTGGTGAATGGAGGTGACTCTGAGGGTTTCAGCTATGCTCCTGTAATGGTGTCATTGTCTTGATTTCCCACACGGGGCTGGGTGATTGACTTGTGCAGCTGTGGATCTGTCTGCCAGCCGACTTGACATCCTCCTTTACAGATGGGGACAGACAGACAGTGCGCTGCCACTTCCCAAGTATAAGCTCTATCAATTCCTATGGCTGGAGCTTTGTCCTTCCCATCCTGCTGCTTCCTTGAAAAGTAGACATTTTGATCTCAGGAAACTTCAGCTACAGTCAGGAGACAGTGGAAGGAGCAAGGTGGGTGGGCTGATGCCTGGCTCATCTGTAGACACATTTTTCAGATGTGTCATTTGTGAAACGATTTTAGATTATCAAAGGACTTAAAGATTGCATCACAGAGTTCCTAAAGCCAGTCGCCTACTCTCTAGTGGACATGTCCTATATAACCATGGTGTATTTGTCAACACTAAGTAATCAGTTATGGTGCATTCTTACTAGCCAAGTGGACAGTTGATGTGGACTTCATCAGCATCCCAGGTACTTCCCTTTTTCTGGACTGCGATACAATCTGGACACCTCATTTCCCTCAGGTGCCTCGTTTCCGTAGTCCCTTGGGATTTGTGACACTTTGTTTTCCATGTCTTTCATGCCCTTGATGCTTAGGTGAATGGTGTTCAGGTATTTCATAGAATGCTCCTTCATTGAGGTTTTTCTGATGTCTATGACTCCTTAGATGAAGGCTGTGGCTGCCTGGGGAGTAAATTGCAGGAGTGAATGGTCCTCCCAGCCCATCTCATCAGGAGTAGCTGACAGTGTCATGGGAGCTCCCCCAACCCAGGGCGAGCCTGCTATGGTGTGGGTGGACTGGCAGGGACGATACCGCAGCAGCAACCAAAGTCTACTAAGACTGGGGACCAATTCTTCCAGAGGCAAAAAGTGTAATGAACTTCACCATTGTGTTCTTGTGACCTCAGTGTGGTGAGTGCTGGGAAGTCATATGGAGAGAATTGCCTAGAAGCAGGGTGACTAAATCCTAAGCCTCTTTTGACCTTTTGGATGCAGCAGGGCTCTCCCATAGCTTAAAAATTAATGTAAAGGGAGAATTTTCTCTGTCATGACCATCTGAGATCAGTGCTCACCCATTTCTCCCACGATGACCGATGAGTTCCCCTTCTGATGGGTCAGAATCAGAGCTGCCAATGGGCCACTATTTCTAAGGATCTGGGCCGCTGTGCTCAGCACCACTGAGTTTGCTCATGCTGAGTTCAGACTTTGGGAGGCATGCAGGCTCAGGTCTTGTGCTTCTTGCTTCAATTCGACCTCCTTGCCGGGCTCCGGGTGGGAGCCTCAACAGTGACGTGGTCATTTGTATTCCTACTTTGCTCTTGTCTCCTGACTGTGTATGTTGGAATTCTCTAGAGGAATGGAATGAATAGAAAATGTCTGCGCAATCCTGTGAGGGGATTTACCGGGTAGGTGTGGAGGATCAGAGGAGAAAGCATCCATAACAGCCATGTGAGGGATTGCATGTGCTCGGCCAGGAAGATGGAAACCACAGAACCAGAGGGTAGGGATGCAGCATGAGTCTAGGTCAAAGGCCTGGAAGCTCTCTGGAAGGTCCCTGCTGAAAATCCATCGTGGGAGACTGAAGAAGCTTCAGAAGGCTGATGCTGAAGTGGGGACTTTTGAATCGATGTCCAAAGGCAATGACAGCAAAGGACAGACCTGTTCAGGAAGTCTGGAACTCTTTGAAATGGACACACTCCCTCCCCTGAGCTTTTTTATTCCACTCTAGATACAAGCCTATTGGTTACTGCAGCCCACATCTGGGGTGTTTCTCCCTCCTCAGTTTGCTGGTATGCATGCCCATCATCACAGACACATGCAGAAATATAGGTCACTGATTCAAGTTGACACAGCATGACTGTTGATCAGAGCGAGTCCTGTGAGAACCCACAATGGTGGTGGTGAGTGAGTAGGGTTTGGAGAAGATGGAGAAGGGGTGGTAAGAATGGGTTCAGGGTTTCCTGTTTTGACTAGAACCTTAGTAGGGATCTACTCATCTCCCCATGTCTTCACATGGTGGAAGTGGGAACTGAGCTCTCTTTGGTCTCTTTTAGAGGGGCACTAATCCCATTTCTGGTCTCTACCCTCTGGACCTAATCCCCTCTAAAGGTCCTAGTTCCCTACAGGATCACTTTGGTGGGAGGGCCAGGTCTTAGCATATGAATTTGGGGGAAGGGGGCTATACATATTCATACCATGGCACTGTATAGAATGAATTCCTACTGAGAAAATGCTGTAGAATCCAGCAGTATGTATAAAATACCTTAGCATAAAGATAAGCAAAGATGACAGCTACATGTCTGCAAAAATCTTACCTCTAATTCTCCCCTTTCACTGCAGAGTGGAAGGAATTAGAGTTGAGGGTGGGGATGGGGTGGAGAGTTAACATAGAGTTCAGGGACCCGAGGGGGAGATCATTAATCATGCATGTCTGCAATTGGCCTGGATGAAGCAGCTACCTCCTGGGTGGATGGAACTGTCAAAGGGACAGGTGTTTGCTAAGTGTGGCCTGGGTTGGGTGCAAGGTGCGTGTGTTTGCAATTTCCACATCTACTGAGAACCTGTCTCACAGCTGCTCTGTGCTGGGCCACCTGGGTCAGCCTCTCTGATGGACCCAACAGCCTGCAGGAGGGAGGAGACTGCACATGGCCATCGCAAAGCTGTGTGACAAGGACAGTGGGAATAAAATTACACAGAGAAGGATTGCTCTGTAGAACCTGGCTAGGACGATTTGTGGAAACAGGGAGGAAGGAGACAGGATGAGGGTGACTTTCCAGAAGACCCACCTGCCTGAGGGAGTTGACAAGGGCCCCACAATTTGGAAAAAGCCCAGCAGTCAGCCAGCCAGGGAGGATGAACCATGAGAGTCCTCGAGCAGGGAACCTCACTGGTTGGTTTGTGAAAGCTCTAAGACCCATTGGCTTTTGCAGGTGAGAAGGTGATGTACATCTGCCATCTGCCCCCAAGACTACAAGCGTGTCTTCCAGATCAAGGATCCACAAACCCTTTCCCTCAAAGGGCAGATGGAAAATATTTTGCATACAGTGGGCCATGGGATCCTTGATGCCGCTGTGCACCACTGCAGGTGTAGTGAGGAAGCATCTATAGGGTGTGGAGAAACCAGCAGGTGTGGCCTGCTTGGCTGAGAGCAGAAGTGTTAGAGCCCAGGCCCCTGCTCCCGTCAGTGTGCCCCTGTCTCAGCCCAGTCAGCACACCTGGGAGGGTCACAAATGCAGGGTCTCAAGCTCCAAACATCCCATTCAACCGCAATTAACAAAAAAGCTGGAGAAAGGTCCGAGAAATAGTTTATTCTGAACAAGAAACACCACATGAACAGAGTAAGGAAACCTGGAGTCTGCAGGGCTGCTTCCGGCTCTGGCCCCCTCACCAGCTCACCAGGTCACCAGCTCGCCAGCACGAGGTCTGCACACTTCCAGGTCACAGTGAAGAGAGGAGCAGCCCCGTCAGTGCCACAGTGGGCAGCACAGTGCCCGTGGGGACAGGAGACCAAAAAGGGCAGAGGACACAGCCAGATGTGGTCAACACAACCCAGAAACAGCCCCAGTGAGAAGGGGGAACAAGGAGCGCTTTTTAAACTGTATCCTGCATTAAAATGTCTTAAGGAATCTAAGGGAGGACACAGACAGTCCTGAGGGCTGAGTTTTCATGTTAAAAAGTAGGAAACCGAAACTGGATAAAAAGTAAAAACACAGTGAAACTCAACAGGGATGGACAGACATCAGTGCCTGAGGGAGAAATATGAGAAGGACCTGAAACAGGAATGAGGCTTGTTTACACAAAAACCATCATGGCAAATCTGGGAAAGGGGGTCTCCAAACAGTGAAGGTGAGGATGAAGATGCCAGCGAGGAATGGAGCCATTTGCCCTTCTGAGTGTGCTACGTACAGAATCTTGGGGAACCCCGTTTGACTGATTTTTCTTTTTATTGTGAGAGTCTCATTAAGTTGCCCAGGCTAGTCTGAAACTCACAATCCTCCTGCCTAAGCCTCTCAAGGGCTGGGCTTACAGGTAGTGCCACTGTGCCCAGGCCCCAGTTGTATCCCTATTTTAAAATAAGTTACCCGATGGCTACATGATCTTGTGACTTGCCTACGGGCTTCCAGCAGATCAGTAGGGCTGGATTCTGCATGAGTTTGACCACAGAGCCCTGCTTTACCATTTAAGCTTCAGCATCTCCCTGTTTGAGAGCAAGCTGTCCTGACCTCATGATAAAGTAGCTGGCCTTTGAGTAAAGCCACTTTCCTTCCAGAACAGACCTTCTAAACGCCCATGGTCTCTAAGTTACTAAGAGCAAGCCCCTCTTATCAGTGCCCGTCGGGTCCCTTGGTTGCCCTTCATGTTGTCTAGACCCTTGCTGTCCTGGAAGGGGTTCTGTTGCAGGGCTAGGCTTTTGGGAACATGGGAACACAGTGGTGTAACCGAGGACCAGTAAGCTATCATCTGAAAGGGCACTTTTGTGCCAGCCTAGCACCGGGGCACAGGTCTGGGAGGCTGCTGACATTCCAAGGTGGGGCATCCTCAGGGATCTGGGGAGGAGCGTTCCTCAGTACCAAGACCTCAGGGCCCAGCTGTTCTGTGTGCTGCATGGTTCTGCAAGGTCAGAGTCTGTGGCCTGCAGAGAATACAAATGAAGCCATCCCGGGGTGGCTCCAGGATTTGGAGCAGGACAGACATGTGAAATAGTTAAGATGCCCGTGGGGCTGTAGATTTCCCAAGTACCATCTAGCCAGCTAGGTTGGGCCACACTGCAAAGTGTGTCGGGGAACGGGAGTGCACTCCAAATATTAGGATTCTATTTTCCAAGTATAAACAATTTTATAAATGCCCAAGAGTTTGCATATCTGCTATTCAACTGGATTCTCACAATAAATTTGTACCTGGAGGTGGGGAAGGAGCTGCTTAACTTCCTTGGCAGAGGCAGAAAACCGAGGCACAGATAGGATGTGTCTGAGGTCACAGAGCAAATTAGCCAGAACCAGGCTTCCCAGCTCCAAGTCCAGGGCTCTTTCTGGTTTTCAGGGACGAGATGGGGACCATCATAGCATAGAGAAGGGCTCTGGGGAGGCAGGGCAGAGAGCCCTGCTGTCCCATGGGCAGCTGCAGGTGCAGGGTTAACTGCTACAGCCCTGGGGGCAGGTGTTGGTCAGGATGTTGTTGTTGCAGCCATCCTGGAGCTTGCTCTGGGCCTGGCTCCCTGGTCGGCCTTCAGGGTCCAGGATCTGGCCGCCTTGCCCCTGATGCCTCCTGAGCCTGAAAACAAGTACAGGACAGACGTGGTCAGTGCTGGTCAGTACTGCAGAGCTGGAGCATGGTCACATGCTGTGGGACACACTTGGGTGAGCAGAGCATCAGAAGTTGCATCAGCTTCCTGTTCTGTGACAAAATACCTGAGAGTAGCAGCTGAAAAGATGAGAGGTTTATTTTGGCTCACGGTTTCAGTCCATAGTGGGTTGAATCTGTTGTTCCTGGACCTGTACTGAGGTGTTATCTCGTGGTGGAAGGAAACCTGCTCACCCTATGGTAGACCTTATGAAAAGGAGCCTGAGAGGAGGGGCTGGGGAAAAGACACAGCCCCCAAGGTCACACCCTCACAACCCACTCCCTCTAACTAGGCTCCACTTCCAAAATTTCCAACACCTCCCAATGGCGCGTCCAACAATGGGCAAATCTGCTGACAAGTGTGGTGCTGTCATGATCCAATCACTTTTCCAGATTCTACCTCTGAACATGTAAGACCTTGGGGAGACACTTTAGGTCTAAGCTGTAATGGAAGCTTTCAGCTTGAGCCTTGGATGCACAACATGGAGTGGGGCTTCTGAGCTCGGGTGCACTTAGGGAATTAATATCCAGAACCTCAGTTTCTCCATCTGTGAAGTGGAGATGTTTGTTCCTACCCCATAGGTCCTGGTGGTTTATGGGAGTTCATACATGCAGTTTATACAGAGTCATGTTTAGCAAGGACAGCTGATGAGTCCCATGCATCATTCACTCTGTATGTCTTTACTGAGTGCCCAGTGATCTCCTGGTACCAGCCTGAGTGCAGAGTACCCTGGCCACAAAATAGCCATGCTGTCTATCCTCACAGGGCTGGCTATTCAAAGGGCACAAGGGCACTGAACAGAGAGTCCCACCAAAAGTTATCTCAACAGTCAGACACTCAGACTGACAAAATGTGCATTGCAAACAGGGTTGAAGGATTGTGGTTCTGAATTCTGCATTTCCTACCAGCTGGACAACTGGTCACCCACATGTGGGAAGAGCTCAGATTCATTCTCTATACCACAGCTGTGCCTGCACATGCCTGGTGTGGGCAAGAGAAGGAAATGAACAGCTAAAGAAGCAGGAAGGATCTGCAGCACAGGAAAAATTCCACTCATCCCTAGCTCCCAACACCTTCTGCTGGGGTTACTTAGTCAAGTTGCTCAGCTTTTCCTGCCTCAGTTTCCACATCACAACGTGGAGACTCTACCACCCACTTTGCTGGGGAGATCAAAGAAGATATAAGTCAAGTGCCTAGTCTGGGGCTGGGAGGAATCATAATCACTGCTAGCTCTACTGGAGGCTTCGACAGGATTGACCTTATTTTACAGGTTTAGATCTCAAATGCCCCCTTAAATCTCATGTGTGTCACAGGTGATTGGATTGTGGAGATGCTGAGTCCTGTGTAGATCAGGGAAGAGTTCCCCAGGTCTGCTCATTTACTCTCCTATCCTTACATTTGTGTACCCCACTATCCATCCATCCATCTATCCATCCATTGCCACGTCTGTCCATCTGTCCCACCCACACTTGTCTGTCCCCATCTTCCCACCTACCTGCCCACCACATCTATTTTCTCGCCCACCAATTTATCTTCCATATACCCACCCACTCATTCATCTGTTTGCCCATTCAGCCTTCTCTTTGCCCATTCATTCATCACCCACGCATCCATCAAGATGATCATTCATCCAGAATTCATCCATTCCCTCACTCACCCATCACTATCCATCTCTCCATTGATCCCTGCCCCCATGTACTCCCTTCCACTCACCCACCTTCCTCCTCCTCTTCCTCCTCTCTTTCCCCTCATCCTATCTGCATACCAGGCTATCAGGAAGTAGCCAGGACAGACTGTAGACAGGAAACATTCACCATGAAGACATCCCTGCTACAATGCGGTACTGTCACAGTATGACTTGGGTATGCCTCTTATTAGTCCTGTCACTTTGGAAAACTGGATTCAAACTCAGGGTTTCCTGTCTCCAAGTCCTCTGCTCCTTTTGTTGTACTCTGTACAGTTCACTGGGCAAGAAGAGAGTGTGGAAGAATTTTCCAGTGCTCCAAAGAATTAGGCTCATATGGATCCAGTGGGAATCCACAGCCGAAGACAACTATACAAACCATCAGAGCTGGCCCTGAGAGCTCTCCAATGGCACTGGCCCACAGTCCTGTCGGCCTGCAGCCCTCAAGGAAAGGAAAAGGATGATACATACATACACCCCCAGATGCAGCTCATTTCTACTAATGCAAATCAGCTAGTTCTCTCCCCTGGGGCAGACACATTTCATTTCTCATCTAGTTGATCAAATTAATTGTCATCTTTGTGACAGGAACTCTGAGGGATGGATGTGAGTGGTCTCAAACTTTTGAACTCAATCTGGAGATGCCGGAAGGAAGAGCTTTGTGACAGAGACTGCAACAGGGAGGGAGCATAGAGTGAGACCAGTCGGGCTGGGAGTAGTCTTCAAAGGGAAAGCACTATGGAGGGGTAGAAGATAAAGCCCAGTAACAAACTAGTGTCAAAATCAGCTGTGTCCCACACTCTGCTGGGGTCAGATTAGTGCCCAGGCCAATCCTGCAGTTGATTTGCCATGGATGAGGCCCAACCTCTGGGTGAGGACCCAGCAAGGACTGAAAACCCAGTTTCCCAGTGTGCACACACCTACCTGTCCACCCATGTCAGTTCCCGCACCGGTGACATTCTAGAGTGGTCTACGTGCAGCTCTGGGATCCAGGGTACTTGGCTTTGAAGGCGCTTATGCCACTGAGCTAAACCCCCAGCCCCCAGGGTACTTGGCTGAGTGCCCTTGAGGAACTTGGCACTGCTTCAGCCTTCTTTCTTTGTTGCAATGTGGGACAAGAACACTTCCTTAGAGAGGGAGAGGTGTACATGTGCATCATCTGCCTGCCCGTGGAGTTCCTTGTGCAGGGCAGTTGGTTTGTGGTGATGCTGGCTGTGTGGATGCACTCCTATTTTACAGATGGTGAAACTGCACATCAGTGAGGCTTAACTTCCTGCTGTTACTCCAGTGCATATCTCCTGATGCTGGGTGACTGAGTATACAGGGGACACAGCTCATTTTGTAGGTTTTGTCCTGGACAAAAGACCAGGGCACAAGGCCCAGGGAATGTTGGTGTGGTAGTGGTGGTGGGTAATTACTACACTGACCTCACAGTGGATGAAATAGAATAGTAGGCTGAGCAGGAAGGAATCCCTGTGCTCTAGTGTGTTATCTGGTCTCTCCTCCACTCACCAGGAAAAGACCACAGTGGACCATATGTGGCCCTCCAGGCTCCAGAACAGTGACTAGCCAGAGGCAGGGACACAGTCGAGGTCCTGAACAGTGGGCAGATGACCAGACGGATGAATGGCTCAGCCTGGCATCAGCTTCCATCTGCAGGTGTGGACCCAGACCCCTGGATCTTCCTTGCATTCTGAGGGGAAAGGAGGCTCACTGTGACAGAAAGGAGCAATGGAGGGTCCCAGTGGGGCAGGACTGGATCTCTGGGAACCCTGTGGGTGTCAATTTGTGTTTGCACCAGTTTACATATGAGGAATGTTAGCTCTCAGGGTCAAAATGTTGTGTTAGATTGTTAATTATGTTTTGCATGTGTGCATGTGTTGTCTAGAACAATGAAGAAAAGATAATATTTGACACAGCCTTAATTAAATGGCACTGTGTAAGACTGATAATTTTGTGCATAATTATATTGCTGGCAAATAAGTGCAATGCTGTCATAGGGGCTAAATGCTTAGTATATGTTAAATCATTTATCACCACAACAGTATTCATCAGTAGCTATTAATACTGCATCTTACAAATGAAGAAACTGAGGTATCAGTGTGAGGTCTGAGATCAGAAAGCTAACAAGAATCAGGGCTTAACCTTAGGTAGTTTTGTTCCTGAGTCTGTGCTCAAAGCTGTTCTACATTCAGGTTGAACGTCCCTCAAGAGAAAATGTGAAATCCAAATGTTCCCGTGATAGTTAATTTGGATGTCAAGTTGAATGGGTTAAGGAATGTCTTGCAGATTAATGGAGCACAATTCTGGGTTTGTTTGGATGATTGACACATAGATTGCACATTGAGGAAGGAAGACCTGCCCTAGACGTAGCACTGACCAATGGGCTTGTGGCCTGGCTAGAATAAAAAGGGAAAGAAGAAGGAAGTCTTCCCTTGCTTCTGTGAAGGTGCTTGCCTTCAGCATCATCTTTGGATATTTGTCTTCAGTTCCTTTCCAGTGCACTCTTCAGCCTTCCAATGCAGAGCCTTTGGCTTTCCAACATAGGCTTGCATAGGACTCTGCAATGAGCTCCAGGACTTTGACTGGATTCTCTGCTCTCCAGTTCACAGATACCCTGTGCACTCTTCCACCCCTGATTCTTCAGGTGCCTACTTAGTAAACACAATGAAATCTGTTCTTGTTGTGAACCTTAAGTGTTACAGTTCTAGAATCCAAATCTGTGTGCCAACACAATACCACAAGTAAAATTTTCACACTAAGAAACTGTTTCACATACAAAATTATCAAAAATGTTGCACAACATTAACTTCAGGCTATGTGTATGAGGTGTATATAAAACACAAATGAACATTGTGCCTGGACTTAAGTCCCATCTACAAGATGCTTCATTATGTATATGCAGATAGTCTAAATCCAAAACACTTTGCCCTTGTGGGCCCAAGAATTTTAGATGAAGGACACTCAACCTGTCGTGCCTCTTAGAGTTAAAGAGAAACAAAGGACAGAGCTGAAATTACTGGAAGGTTTCACAAGGGCAACCACCAGTTGAATGATGATTTTCTGGCTGGGGAAGGAGAGTGGATTTTGAAAAGATTGCAAAATACTATGAGCTCTCTGTATGCATTCCTTCCTTCCCTCCTCCAGCATCCCTTGCAGAGGACTAGGACTCAGAGGACTCCCTTACCTCAGCTCCCAACTTGAAACAGTGCATTACAGGCATAGTAGATTTCTGCTGGGAAGAAG